TATCTTCCATCGTTGACCCAGGCGAGTTGGCCCAAGACCAAGATAATGATGAAGAATTGAAAATTTTACTTCGAAACAAAAGTACATCATTGAACTTTCAGAAGTGTTCTCTGATGAATTCGACTCAGCCTGTATTTTGCGACATATCAACGCAGTACATCCGACCTCATTTGCCCCTCAACCAAAGGAAGAAATGTTTCGATTCAATACATCAACTTTCGCATCCTGGCGTTAGGACAATGAAACATTTGATTGGTCAAAAGTTCGTTTGGCCTGCTATGAACAAAGATATTGTTCAGTGGACTAGAATCTGTACTGCCTGTCAACGGTCAAGGGTCAACAGATACAATAAGAGTGTGCTCAGCAAATTTCCAGTTCCAGATGAGAGATTCGAGCATATCCATTTGGACTCAGTTGGTCCTTCGCCAGTTTCAAGAGGATATCGATATTGTCTCACCATGATTGACAGATTTTCAAGAAGGCCGGAATCTGTTCCAATATCATACAAAATGTGAAAAAATATCCATTGCACTATTCAATCACTTTGCAAAAGAATTGAAAATCCGAAAGGTGAAAGATATTATTGTGAATCTTGTAAAAAGAGTGAGGTTATGATTTCAAAATCCACAAAATCAAACTCAAATGATGGTAATACCAATAATACCAAGCAGGAATATACCCGAAATAGACAACAAATATACAGATCTACTCAACAAATATGAAGAACAAGTTGAAGTAAATGAAGTTCTGAAATCAGAAATTTTGATGATTAAGTCGCAGCTAGGAAAGGAACAAAACGAAAATGAGCAAAATGAGCTGAGAAACAACATCATTGTCAATGGGATACCGTATGACAACCGAGAAAACATTGAAGATATTATGAAGAAAATGGAAGAAGTACTGCAAGGTCAAACCTTGAAGAAACCAAAATGCTTCAGAATTGTAAAAGGGCGAAACCACAATGGACAGCTGCCTATAAAAGTGTGTTTTTCCAGTGAAAAGGAGAAAGAAGAATTCTTGGGGGGCTAGAAAGAAGAAAATGATAACTTCGAAAGATCTAGGATATGATTGATATGAAGAAGGTAACATTATCTATCTAAATCATGATCTAACAAAGGCAAATCAATACCTATTCAAGGAAGTGATGTAATACAAGAAACAAAATAACTATAGTTTTGCCTGGATAAATCATGGGAAAATCTATATACGCAAAGATGAAAATAGCCCAGTACAGCCAGTCGAAGACACTAGTGATCTAAGAAACTGAAGAAGTCCAATGAAATTGTCAGACAAACAACACAATCAAGTCTCAGAAACAAATTGGAGGAACTACAATGTCTTGTAAAGTTGAAATACTATGATATATTAGTAATGATGGAAACCTGGCTATATAAGAATGAAGTAAACGGATTCATGATAAATGGGTATTCAGCTGTGCATGAATGTAGAGATACTAGAGCTGGAAGAGTTGCAATATACATTAGAGAAAATATCAAGTTCATACACCCAAAAGCGAGATGAACAATGTTGGTGGCGACAGTCAAAGCAACATGGTTGGGGTGAATCTACAGGTAAGTGGTGTAAAAATTATAGCATTATATAGATAATTGGAGACTTCAATATAAATTTATTGGATAATACTGAGACTACTAGTGAATATCAAAATTGTGTTGTATTGAATGGATTTGAGATCCAAAACAATATGGGTATAGAATATGCAAACAGAATCACACAAAACTCACATACCATCATTGATCATGTTTTTGCAACAAGTAATATCGGAGAGTATGAACTGAACATTGAATACAGCACAATTTTTGATCATAATCTAATAGAAGTAGAATTATATTCAAAATCTAAAAAGTGCAATTGTAAAATTCAAAAAACATTCGAGAAACAGATAACTCAAAATATGAGGAGAATTTGAAAAATCTACTAGAAAATTCTGTACCAGTTGATACATTCGGAACTTTGATCTAACTCATACAAGAAGCTTAAAGTAGGGCGACAAAAACAATTAGAATGAAAATAAGGGGAAACTAATGATTGGATAACCCCCTCGTTTTTAAAACTATTGAGAAGAAGAAAGGAATTATACTAACTAATGAAAAAATTCCCACAGGATCAACAAATACTAGGGGACTTCAAAAATAAAAAAAAAACAAGCTGAAAATGAAAAAAGAAAATTAAATACAAATTTTTCAGAAAAAGATGGAATGATACTGAGGGAAATCCAAAGAAACAATGGAATTTCATAAATAGCCTAATAAAACATGAAAAGGAACACACTAGTGTACATATAATCGAGGTTGATAAAACATTAATAATAGATCAAAATAATGGAAATTGGAAATAAATTCAACAAATATTTTTGTTATATAGGTCAATCAATCGTCAATGAAATCAATGCTAAACTCATAGGTAACCCACTCCAACATCATTTTGATGAAATCAATATAAAAAATTCTCTGTACCTTCATGATTCTAATATGAAAAAAGTAAGAGAGGTCTTAGAGGAAATGAATAAGAATTCTGCTCCAGGTAATGATAACATTACAGTGAAAGAATTATTAAAAGCAGGAGACAATAATACCAATCCTAGTCAACTTGGTTAATAAAATGTTTGAAACAGGAGAATTTTCGTAGGAGCTAAAAATGGGTAAGGTTACCCCTATTTATAAATCAGGGCAAAAAAACAACTCAGAAAATTATCGCCCCAATACCGTAGTCTGTGCATAATCAAAATTCGTAGAAATTCTATTAAAAAACCGTATCATGAACTTCCTTACCAGATATATTGAATTAGACAAGTATCAATATGGTTTTCAGAAACAATCCAACACTCAAAGTGATACGATGAACTTTCTGAACCATGTCATAACAAACTTGGATGACAAAAAATATGTACTAACAATATTTATCGATCTCCAAAAAGCATTTGATGTAGTGGATCATGAAATACTTATAGATAAACTGAACTTCTTAGGTATAAGAGGAAAAAGTGCAAGCATATTAGAATCATACTTGAATGAACGAAAACAATATGGATCTCTAGATAAAGTAAATAGTGACATCTTGAATATTAACTGTGGAGTCCCACAAGGCTCAGTCCTTGGGCCACTATTATACTCATTACACACTCTAAATCTCAGAAAAGCAAATCCTAAGGCTCGCTATTACATATTTGCAGATGATACCATTCTTGTATATAAAGGATCTAACTTGACAGAATTAGAAGACTTAGAAAATTATGACTAGAACTATATGCTAAATGGCTCCTGGCAAATAAGTTGCAGATAAATGTGAAAAAAACAGTGTATATGTTATTCGAAAATGAAAAAAAAGAGAGTCATGACCCAGATATCAAAATAGGAGAGCAGGCAATTCAAAAGGTTGATCTTACTAGATACTTGGGATTAATAATTGACGACAAATTAAATTGGCACACTTGACAAAAAAAAATTGTACCAATGATTGGAGCACTTTACAGATGCCAAAGTTACTTGAATTCACAAAATAAAATCATGATCTATAACGCCTATTTTCTTTCTGTATTCCGTTATCTGATAACAGACTGGGGGATATGTTCTCAAACATTATTCAAAAAAATCAAAACTCTACAAAATGAGGTGGAAAAAACTTTATTTGGCTATGACTATAGAACACATACAGAAATTATCTACCATCAAACTGGAATTTTGCCGCTGGAAAAAATTCTACAGATAGAACAATGTAAATTGATTTATAAAATAACAAGAAATCAACAAAAATGCAACACCAATATGAACATAGTTAATGAGATATATTCATATAAAACTAGAAGTCGAAACCAAATTTATCTACCCCAGATGAGAACAAACATTGGTTTGAATAATCCCTTCTCTAAATGTCTTGAAACATTTAATATTTTGCCAAACTCAACGAAAAATGAAAATTGTTACTCTACATTCAAAGCTGAAATGATGCAGTACGTTGTCAGCCATTGAATTTCAAATATAATTTTGTTCTGCTACCAGCAATCATTGCTGATTTGGAACAATGCTTTAAAAAACATTTTTTTTAGATTTATACATTTTTCATAAGATATTAGCGTTTTGGAAACGGGGTTGTTGTTTTTATATGTATATATATTCAAGTTTTGAGTAGTTTTAAATGACTTGTCCTGAATGATTTCATTCGTTTGATATTATATATATTTATGAATATTTATTTTTAGACATAATATGTATGTATGTATGTATGTATATATGTATCTATTGAATTTAGTAGTATAAAGTTTGATATTATGTGATATAGGGTAAGAAGAAACATTTTTTGTATTGTTGAAATTTGTATATGAATTGAAAATAAATCATATTGAAAAAAAATCTGGCTGTCTGGCGAGGAATCAGTTGTCAGCTGGCGGTGTTTAGATTTGTAATCTGTTGAAGTTTCGTCACGTATACCTAGAGTGCGGCGAATTTATAGCTTCAGCTGACAACATTATCCTTTACTTAGAGCAAGCTCACTACTTTTCGTAAATACCGAAGAGTATAAATTCTGAGGCCGTCAATAATTTCTAATGTGATCAAATTTAACGCCTGAGTGAATCGAATATTGATGCAAATATTTATCTTCAATGAACAAGAATGTGAACGACAACAATAACTCAAACTGGATTTATAAAGATTGTTCACTTCAGACAATGCATTTCACCTAGCAGTCACAATCATTGAGGCAAACGGAAGTGTTTTATTATTATTATTATTTTAACCTCGTAGTCGTTTGATATAACCCCATAGAACTTGGTATCATTGATTACTTAGCTATGTGAAATTCCTGAATAGAAATGTAATAATTTTTCTGGTGTCTCATTAAAACACTGCCCATTCTAGTTTTACATAAATGAAGATCACCCTGAATATTCAGGATGGGATTGAAAGATACGCATTCAATAAATTCAATGAAAGACTCGAAATATTCTTTTAGGATATATCAAATTACTTTCTAATGGTTTTCAGGATTAACAAGTGATGAAAGAAGAATCATCGAAGAGGGATTTCGTGCAGGCATCCTTTATGTAATTTGTTGCACTTCTACACTAGCTGCAGGCGTAAATTTGCCTGCAAGAAGAGTGATACTTAGATCCCCATACATCGGGAAGGATTTCATCAATCTATCTCGGTACAAGCAGATGGTGGGAAGAGCAGGTAGAGCTGGGTTGGGCGAAACTGGAGACAGTATTATCATTACTAAACCACTTGATTTACCCAAGGTGAAGGAATTGCTTTTGTCTCCGATGAATAGAGCATTGTCTAGCATGCATTTATCGGAAGGAAAAGGTTTAAGGTATGTATATCAATTAATCATGCTAGTTAGGACTGACCTCAATATTATTGTCTTATTATGCTATTGGAGATTTTTGGTTTACTATTGTATGGGGGTTAGCTAGAAGGATGTAATATTCTCCTTAGAATGACAAATTTGTGGAGAAAGTTTTGTTGTCATGTCAAAACTTATTTTTAATTTTCTTCCAAATCATTCGGATTTCTTCGAGTGATGATAAATGGTTTTCACGGTTATTCATATTCCATTGTATTTCTCTATGACTTCGATCATTTTTATTCAACCATCGGTAACTTAAACCAATGCTTTGCTCTTAATCACACTTGATATACCGATATTCCTTGCAGCTATGTAACCCCCTGTATCTTTGTTAGTTCATAGAACAAAATAACCAAATTCTCATAACATAAGGTGTACATAAGTATACCAGTAGTCTTAGAATTAACCTGAAGTACTTCAGCAACGGTTAGTACGGCAATACATAATGAAAAGTGCATACGTACATAAGTCCTAAGATACGACTCTTTGAACGAGGGGCTTTGAAGATGGTTTCCCTGAATATTTCCGAAATGCTTCAGATTAAAATAATACAATTTTCCATATTGATTAATCCTTTTATATTGCATACATATGAAAAATTTTTTTTTCATTTCATTCGGAGTTGTATCGAACGATGTAAGAAACGGTTAAAGATGCCACCTTGAAGGTATGAAGTTATCCGAGATTTAGGTTTAAGACGTTAGAATTCCCTCTCGATTTAAAAATCTAATAGAAGCTGATATCATCGAAGAAGCATACGCCTGAAGAGAAGCATTACAGGTTGATCCCGTGCTTCACCAGGGCCTACTCTATCTCACCGGGCCGGAGCATCGCTTTCGTGACGTCACACTAGTAGGGACAAAATCAACGCAGTGGAAATTGTCTCTTCCGTTTCATTGATTTACCTCGGAAAAACGGTCACAGTTAGCAAAAAATATCAAGAGGTCAAATATGTACAGAAAAGAATTCTCCAGAAGATCAATCAAATATCACTGATTTACGATCATTAATTTCAGAAGTATGGCATATCAAAATTTATTGACGCCATTCAGAATTGTCCTTTTCCAAACAGCTACCAAAATTCCAATATTCAATTCACAGAAATGATTCAATCATGAAAAGATTTTGCATAGTACCTAGATTGACTGAGTTTTTTTTTCAATTTCCCAAGGGCCAACAACAAACCGATATTTCAATTCAAGTAGAACGATGATTCAGGTGTTCATTACAGAATAGTGCAAAAAGTTCGGACGCCTCCCATGCTAATCCAATCAACTATGGATATATGCTGTCACTGACTTTTTTGTAGGAAATTTGATTGCCTACAAATCGGTATAATACACATCCACTTTATCTCGAAGGGTTTTAGCAGCGTTTATCTCTGAAGATGATCAGGACGCACTTTGATGACGTTAGAAATCCCATCACTCGAGTGTGTTATTACACAAAAACGCCTATTCGGTATCAATTATTTTCTGCTGAAGAGTATATATTTGAATGATAACGTTAAATTCATGAAAAAAATTTGATTTGGATATATTTGCAAACTATCAAAATTAAAAAGAACAAAATATGTGGAGTTCATATGAACACAACCTAACAAAAATAATTAAAAAAATATGTATCTCAACAATGAGAGATATAAAAATGAATATAACGAACTGAATAACAAAATACCCAGAACAACGATATATGAATGAATAAGGAAAATATGAAAAAAAAACGTTGACTCCTTATACACAAACAAAACCAAACAAAATAAATTGTAAAAATGATCAACATAACAAAATGAAAAAAATTGATAGATATCACAAAATGAAATACACTAATAACAAAAAATATATATACATCATCTTAATCACAAACTAAAAATTGAAATCTGAACTATATCTCATCCTGAAAGTTTAGTGGATTTTCTTTTTTATTCTTTTTTATTTTGCAATAATTGTTCAACAGAACATTTTAAATGGTTTTAGAGAATGTTCTGCTGATTCCATCAAAAGACCCACAACTGATTCTCGGAATAATTGATTTTAATTTCTGCTAAATTCTCCAAAACTTTATGTTGTGACTTACATTGTAGAAATATTGTTTCGAATTTTTCAGACATCAATATTAGTTGGTCTGAACCATACGCCATTTAGAAATGAAATGACTAATAAAAAGTATATCGCCCTTTACCAGTCCAAGGAATTACCGCGAAATCGTAATACAGCGAAATTTGGGTAGGTAGGTATAACGGCCCATTTTTACGCGCTTTTTATATTTAATTTCTTTCGGACTCATTGTAGGTAACTCAACAATTTTTTTACTATTCAATTGAATCATTATCGTAGTTTGATATATTGAGCTAGTTTCATCTAATTCCAATTCCTAATTTGCAAAAAATAGTATTCTGTAGTACAACGTCCTGATTTTCAATAAAATGGAATGTCGTTACAACGCCATAACTCGGTATTGATTCATCCTATTGGATTCATTCTTTCACCAAAAGTTGAGGAATTTGTTGGGGATCATTTCGTTTTGATTGAGTGTGCTCCTAAAATTTATAATAAATGAGCTATAGCCTACGGACTGATGTGAAATCTCAACCTACTAGTGTGACGTCAGCGTCGAGAGAGAGGGGATAGACTACGGCCCGGTGAGATAGAGTAGGCCCTGGCTTCACCACGTTAGCGATGGGGCCACCAGCGGCCACTATTTCACCGACGCCTTCCAAGTAGACTGTTTTTGGTATTTTGGTCTTAGATTTCCTGAATGCCAACGTTTCGTCATTTTTCTTTGACATCTTCAGGGCACTGTAAGATTAAAGGGTCATTACAAATGTATAGATAAAAATGTGGAAAATACACATATAGAAAAGGCGGAACTCAGTATGCCCGATATTGTAATGTCTGGCTCCACCATCCCCACCAAATCTATGCTCGGTATTTCTATCAGCAACACTCTTTCATGGGATAAACATGTCAGATCCATCGCAAAAGCTGCTTCACAAAAACTCGGATTCTTGTTCCGTGCGAAAAGTTACTTCACACCTCAACAGCTTTTCATGATCTACAAAGCGCAGATACGGCCTGTTCTAGAATACTGTTCCCACATATGGGGTTCAGCACCAAAACATACGCTGATGCTCTTAGATTCCATCCAGAGAAGAGCCATTCGCCTGGTGGGTGACGCCACACTCACTCTCTGACATCATTGGAACACCTTAGAAAGGTCGGCGACCTTTCACTTTTCTATCGATACTTCCACGGGAAATGTTCTTCGGAAATCTCTGCTATCATCTCTTCACTAGCAATACCAATCAGACGAACCAGACAAGCCCAGTCAGCACATCCTTTCGTTGTCAACCTCGAAAGATGTCGAACAGCACTTTATCAAGACTCCTCCATCCATAGAACGGCTAGGCTCTGGAATTCATTGCCTGTGGAAGTATTCCCAACAACATAAAATTTCCAGAAGTTCAAAAAAAATCCAATACCTACCTCCTGTCCCTATCCTCCCTAGGAACGCACGATGTTCTTTGAACATTATCCCTTTCGTGCGCTCCAAGCGATAAAAAAAATTCTTCTCTTATGGTTGTTATTATTACTTTTTTCTGAAACAACTACTGAACATGGCTGAGGTGACTAAAAAAAATTATATTTCCACTTACATGAGAATAGTTTTCCGTGTTAAACGAATCGAGACCAGACAAGCCCAGTCAGCACATCCTTTCGTTGTCAACCTCTAAAGATGTCGAACAGCACTTTATCAAGACTCCTTCTTCCATAGAACGGCTAGGCTCTGGAATTCATTGCCTGTGGAAGTATTCCCAACAACATATAATCTCCAGAAGTTCAAAAAAAAATTCCAATACCTACCTCCTGTCCCTACCCTCCCTAGGAACGCACGATGTTCTTTGAACATTAAAGGGATTCCCTTTCGTGCGCTCCAAGCGATAAAAAAAATTCTTCTCTTCTTATGGTTGTTATTATTACTTTTTTCTGAAACAACTACTGAACATGTCTGAGATGACCAAAAAAAAATATATTTCCACTTACATGAGAATAGTTTTCCGTGTTAAACGAATGATGATGAACCATAACAGGTTTCTGCTTTGACAGATGTATATGGAACTGAGTTTGGAACAACAAACAAAACACTCGAACACGTTAAAAATTTGAATAAAATAATGCCCATCTGTTGAATATTCGAAGTGGAACTGATGGAATGTAATGTAATGTAACATTTCGAAAAAAAGTAACAGTTACAACCACAAGAAGATAAGAAATTGTTTTTAATATATGTATTTTCCATATTTCCATCTATAAATTTGTAACGACCCTTTTATCTTATAGTGTTCTGAAGATAAAATAAATTGACGAAACGTTGGCTTTCAAGAAATATTGTCTTCTTCAATCTAAGACCTGAATCCCAAAAACAACACCACAGCAATCTTTCAAACGGTCGTGAAATAATTGAAATTCAACAAATAAAAGTTTCGCAAAAAAGAGTTTTTCAGGGATGAAAATGTGTTGAGGGGATTGTCAAAATCTTAAAATTGAGAACAAAATTCGATGAGCCATGATTGGAAGTGATATTTTTTCAAAAAGTGGCTCTTATCACATATACCAAAAAAAAGGGTGAGTCTTCAGCAAAAAGAAATACATGCAGATTTGACTTGAGATGGACCTTAGATATCGGGGGTAACGCTCAAACCCATTCAAGAATACTCATCTGATTTTTTCTATGGGTTTTTCATTTAATATTGCTGAGACATAGAGTTTTGCTCACCATGTACATACCTGGCTTTGTTTACATTGATTTCCTCGTGACAATTAAGCATAATTTGATTTGATTCGATTCGAAAAGGCATGCAAGCCGACTTTTCACTGACACTCTGAAATGAAATTTAACTTAATTTATCTATATTTTAAACTTTCAACTTGTACGTATTAGTAGCGTCAAGAGTAGTCCTACGTACTAGTGTGTGGAAATATGAATATGAAACTTGAATAACTATCAATAAGTCATTATTTCAAAACGTCAGCAGAAAAAATACATTCTGATTGTGAGGTCCAAACCATATTTTATTTACAGGCATTTATTACTCAGTTGTATAAGCCTGGGCATAGCAAATACCAGAGTGCAGTTGCAAAAAGTGACTGCTCATACTCTGTTAGCTGTACAGAGAGATAAACTCGAAGTAGACATTAAGTTTTTGACTGATCAAGTTATCAAGAATTTATTCAAGTTGGGCGCACTCAAGGAATCTGCTGGAAAACAGAAACAATGCAGTTTTTCTGGACTTCGCGATGTTTCTGTCAGAATGAATGTAGGTTTTCCTAAGAATATTACCTACTGATCGTAATTGTAAAAAATGTTTTCCAGACTTCCATCCCTGATACTTTGAATGATGAGTGCCAAAGGGAATCTCCAAGTAAGAAACAGAAGAAAACTGTAGTGCTAACAAATTGTACGAAATTAGTTGTTAGTGAATTGGGATGTGCCGCTATCAAAGGTAAACTTATACGAGCATTATATGAGTAAAGTTTTTGAATTTGGTGAAGTTTTTATACAGTGTATAGTTTATGCAAAGTCAGTTGAACAGATCATCAAACGAATGTCGGGCTGCGCTGCCGCACTCTTTGAACTTTCAAAGGGACCGACGGCTTGCGGTGATGTGTTTTTTCAACTGACTGCACAAACTATACCTAATAGTGAATTCCATTGGCAGGAATTGGTGGAGTGTTTCTCCACTGAGTGTATACTTACCTCTGTTTAACACATGCGAGTGAGAAGGAAACATATACATTGAGTGCAGAAACACTCCACCAGTTTCTGTCAATTAAATTTGCTGTAAGTTGCGGAAGTGTGTATTTCGTTCTTGGATACCATAAGTGATCAACTTGATGCCCTTCAATTAGTTTTTGAATATTCGAGACATTATGATCAAACTAAATTGATACGTAGATACAGCTTTTTCTATTTTCGAATCAGTTTCAAAATTTTTAGAATGGATTATAGTTTACTAAGATTTCAATTCAAAAATCTCTGTTTGAGGAAACCATTTTGATTTTTTTATACATAATTCTAGTTAGTAAATTTCGTATGTGAAAAAATGAAAATTTAATCAATTTTTTGTGCTTTCTTCAAATTAGAAAGCAAATTCCGAAAATTTGGTATTATTAATTCATTGATATTTCCTAATATGAAACCTGTTTTTTTTTACTGTTAAATCACTCGCATGGTTAGTGAAATGTCAAAAAAATAGACTGGGTTGTTCGTGAGTTATGACCCTGTGAATAAATGAATAAAATATATAAAACATCTCATATGTAGGTAATAATGACTGTGAAGGTAAAACTCATGGTAAAGGGCTTTCACGCTGGGTGCGTAGCGCGATGCCCAATTCCTACGATGCCCAATTCCCACGATGCCCAATTCCCACGATGCCCAATTCCTACGATGCCCAATCTCATGTCGACGATTACGAAGATTGCCGAAGAGCGCAACGTTGCCAGGTTATGAGAAAAAATCAGAAAACACGAGATTCCCACCATGCCAACTTTTCATAGATTCCCACGATGCCCAATTCCTACGATGCCCAATTCCCACCATGCCCACTTTCCTTCGATTCCCACCATGCCCACTTTTGATAGATTCCCACCATGCCCACTTTTGATATATTCCCACGATGCCCAATTCCTACGATGCCCAATTCCCACCATGCCCACTTTCCTTCGATTCCCACCATGCCCACTTTCCTTCGATTCCCATCATGCCCATTTTTCATAGATTCCCACGATCCCCAATTCCCACCATGCCCACCTTTTTCAGATTCCCACCATGCCCACCTTTCATGCATTCCCACGATGCCCAATTCCCACCATGCCCACCTTCATTATGGTGGAAATCCAAAGAAGGTGGAAAATTGGGCATCGTAGGAATTGGGCATCGTGGGAATCTATGGAGAGTGGGCATGGTAGGAATCTTGTGTTTTCTGATTTTTTCTCATAACCTGGCAACGTTGCGCTCTTCGGCAATCTTCGTAATCGTCGACATGAGATTGGGCATCGTAGGAATTGGGCATCGTGGGAATTGGGCATCGTGGGAATTGGGCATCGTGGGAATTGGGTATCGTGGGAATTGGGTATCGTGGGAATTGGGCATCGTGGGAATTGGGCATCGCGGGATGCTCCCTTCACGCTGGGTTGATAGTGACGTCAATATGTTAACACATACAGTGTTGCCAGTTGAAAGGAAATGACTGAATGACCAACCGCCCGAATATGGATATGTCTAGTGTTACGATCGTCGGACGTTATAATGTTTTTTGGAACCAACTCAAAAGCCGTCCATTTATGTTTCAAAATCAGCACTTGAAGTTGATAAATGAACTTCAATATTTGTATTTAATGAACCATGCACCTAAACAATATACTGAATATGAATAATAACTTGAAGAATGATTTATTATATAACATCAACAAACAATCACAGATATTGACATTAAAAATAACTTATTTTTCTACAAATAAACAATTATGTCTTGAATTATTTTTTTCAAATAAAACTGATCAGTATTCACATTTACTGAGTGAAAATAATAAAAACTTCAATTTTGAGATTATCTGATCGTTTTGAATGTTTTTCAATCACTATAAATTGGTGAAATGAAATAGAAATTCTATCAATCGATTTTATTTCGTGGGAAAATAAATAGTGGTGCATCTAATAATATTGGAAATTATGAAAGAGACAACAAGAGTTGTTCTTACTTCAATATTATCAATATAATTCATGAGGAAAACCCACAAAAACTCATGAAACCACTATGACATTACAATTAACTAACACAAATCATATTTGGATCATTCGGACAACACAAAATATCATTATTAATACCATCATTCAACTTACATCTCTCACAGAAGTCATTGGAAGTAATGGACCATCTTCCGCTCTTACGCACTCAATGGTTTATGCATTTTGAATAAATCGAATTTCACCTATGATCCACAAATAAATCACAAACAATTCCTTGAAAGTACAAATTGTCAGTAATGAATAATTCGCAGAGATCAGCTGATCACAACAAATCGGTTCTAGAAATGTCAAATAAATCTGGCATCGGTGTACAGTTTTGCCAACTCAAATCGATAACGCGGTTCGCCCATTTCGAAAGTTACTAGTATTTTTCGATGTGCAGTTTTGGCACGACATTGTTACCAAGTATTGCGCAACTATCAACCCAGCGTGAAAGCCCTTTATATAAAGTCACTTGAGACAAATTCAGCAACATTGCCGGCGGCGCGCGGTCCATTTGAACTTCTCAAAGGGATCGGCGGACTCGTCAAATCAAAATTGACAATGACTGGGTGAACATAAAATGATGGATTATTTGGATTTAGCGTGAATCACGAAATTAGAGTAGATGGTGTACCCCCTAGTCCGAATAGAATTGACGTGAAGATTTTCTAGTTCCAGTTAATTTTAAACAAGCTCAACGTTTTATAGGAATGGTTAATTATCTCAATCGATTCATTCCAAAATTATCAGAATAGGCGAGAACACGAATTTCTGGAAAAAATACCATGGCCTTTAGTATGACGATAAAAGTCTCAGGTATTTTTTTCAGATTTTTATTCGAAGTAGTTTTCCCACAAAAAATTTGCAAAGTATTGATCCCGTTCAAACGAGCTGGAATATCGCGCGTTAATGTGACGTGACAAGTATTAGACGGTGATCCGGCAACGTCGCTTGATATCTTCTGGACTGTTGACTGTGTGGACAGTTGACAATTCGTTCATCTGTCACTACTGTCAGTTGTTATTTTATTTTATTGTTTATTTATTTTTGTCCGCCAATATTATTTTTATTCGTGCCATCGAATTATTTATTTTTTCTCATCAACGTTTATTCACATTCCTGGGATGGCAGTGGCTGTAAGGAAATGCCACAAACTTGATTCCATCCTGCTTAATCAACACTGAACAAAGTATATGGATAAACCATACCTGGAATCAAATGAAATATTTTGCTGTGAGGATCGTTTTGATGTGAGTAGAATTTTTTCTTCAATATGGATTGATCATACTCATTTTGTTCTAGCTTGTATATGACATGTTAGTTAGCGTTCGGCGGAGTGTACACGTTCTGTAAATGCTGTGACAAAAACGAATAAATTGATTAGTAAAAAGATAGTAATTGACATCAAAGTTACATCAAAACATCCAGTTTTGTGCAGTGAATCCAGTGAGCATAGTCTTATGCCTCAAAGTGCATTCACCGAGTAAAAATTCGCAAAATATATTACAAATTCAGATAACCTTCAGTGTGATCCACGCGTTTTTACGTTTTTGCTTATACCAGTTTATTTGGGAGATCCACTTTTTTTGTGAACAATGGTGGACACCTGCTCCATCTGCACAAAAAACATAAACAGGCAGACACCTTCGGTGCAATGTTCTGACTGTAAAAAACTGTACCATTTGTCTTGCCTGCAATTTCCAAGTTTACCAGATTTCGCGCGTTTTCCAGGACTTTCCTGGATGTGCCTGGATTGCAAAGATAAAAGCACGAATCATGTTTCATCCAACATGGACCTTAGTTGCATCATGAATAAATTGGAAGCTATACAGGGTGACATCCGACAAGTGAAACGTACTCAAAAAGATATGACTGACTCGATGGAATTTTTCGGCGGTAAAATAGATGATTTTTCCAAGAAGATTGATGAATTTGAAACTAAATTAAAATCTATTCCACTAGTCGAAGCACAAGTGCAAGGAAATTGCTCTGAAATATCAGCACTAAAAACTCAAGTTGAATATTTTGATCAACAATTGAGAATGAATAACCTTGAAATAAATGGGATACCTGAGCAAAAAAATGAAAAAATCATGGACACAGTCACGAACCTATTTAACGCGCTGGGATGTATGGAACCGAATATTATTGAATCATGCTACCGAGTGCCCCACATGAGGGCAGATAACAAAAGTCCAAAGTCAATCATTGTGAAACTCACCAGCCGTTCAAGAAAGGATGCTATAATTACTTCAATTCGCGCACGAAAAGGAATATCAACAAGTGACATCGGACTGAATTCTGCCAACTCGCAGATTTTTATCAATGATCATCTTACATCCAAGAATCAGTTGCTCTTCAAAAAAGTTCGAGATTTATGCAAACAAAAGAATATCAGATGCTGGGTACGGGACTGTAAAATTTTTGTTCGTAATCCCAGAACCGAAAAAAGTGTCCACATCGATAATGAATCTACCTTACAAAAAATTATAAGGAACTTTGAATAATCTCTCTCGTTCTGCCCATTTCATTCTTAGTAGATACTATCAGTCGAATTTTAACATACCCCACTATTTATGGACCTTACAATTCAATATCAAAATACTCGTGGATTACGTAGTAAAACTCATGAATTTTTCACATCTAGTCAGGCATCCACAGCAGATGTCATTTGTCTGACTGAAACATGGCTTAATTCATCGGTTCGAT